TAATGACTCTATTGCTGCGTGATTTAGTTTTTCCAGAGAGCAAGTGTCCAAGTTTCTGTGCTATAATCCAAACTAGTTTCTACTGATGACTCAGTAACACTCTTACATTTACTCTGCCCAAAATTCTTCATCAGATAGAATTTAGAATCAAATTTGCCTGTTTTATGGATGGTCATGTCAGTCCCCTGTGATCAGAGCTCTTTGCAAATTGTTGAGCTCGTTGCTTAAAAATGTCATAGATTCATCAACTTTAGGGGAACTGTGACAGCTTCCGCCAGCTGGGGATCTGCATCTGATATTTCAGCTTGCAGGACACAGTTTTCTCTGCGTCTGGCCTGAAATGGTGGAGCTCACTGCCAACTCCCCTCCCCCAAGTCCTTCCACAGGGGAACCACAGATTAGCTTCTGTCCAGCCTGCAGTGTTAAAAAAATCACTCACTCCAACTCATGCTAACAAAATATGTGGCAAAATTTGGAAAATACTGTTAGGTCATTATGCATTTGTTTAAAAACTTCCAAGAATCTGAGCTCCTTTTTTTGTTTGTTTAAATTCAAAATGTTTTCATTCATTCTAGTAATTTTGATTTCTCGCCGTTCAATTCTTGTCCTTCATTTCATTCTCAGACCTTATTAAATGTGAATAAAACTTTTGAAATGGCAATTAAAATAGCTTTCTTCCTGTGGAGAGAACCTAAGTGTGACTGCGCTGCTGCCTATTGTCCTGCTTCATTTCTTCCTTTCTCGGGTCTGTCCTTCATCCTCCATCATCTGTGATTTAGACTAAGCCTTTCGTGGCAAGGACCTTCGTTTTATATTCATCTCTGCTGAAAGCAGAGACATTTACTGGTTTCTGAAAGTATAAAGAATGTAGCGGATCAATGCCATTATCCTGAACCGCACTTAGAAGACAAAGGCAGCTCTTGAATTGATGCTCTCAGGAGCACAGAAGCAGAGCTACATTTTGGGCTACTGCAGATTTGCCAGAGGACTCTTCTGTATATTTCCACCTAAGAACATAGCCAGGGTAAAAGCTACAAAAGCACGGGTGACAGTGATAAATCTTGTAACACAGGATTGCCTCACCAAATCAAGCAAATGATAACAAAAATTTTGACTGCTAGGATTAAGATAGCCAAAGAGCAGCAAGTCTTTCAGCTGGACTCTGAGCTCAATCAGAGCATGGTGCCAATAGGCTGCATTGATTTAAAGTAAAGATTTGGTGACAGTATTTCTGCTTTTGAGTAAGCCCTAAAGGTACTTGCACAGGAGGCAGTGGAGCAAGTGCACTAGATCCTTGAGAGATTTGAGATCTGTGATCAGGGGAAATAGATTAAGGACTTGATCTCTTGGGCACCTCTCTCCCAGCTAAAAGCTCTCACGATGCTAAACACCCCTGTTTTCCCTCAAATTCTGCAACAGGTGTCTGCAGCCTCCATGGAAGAAAGTGTTTTAAAAGCACCTTTTTTCTTTGTTTTTGTTTTCCTTTTTGGCTTGCATGTTGCATTCAACTCACTGCATTCTGTGATCCCTCTTTGAAAGGTCCAAGCCTGCCTAGGCACCCATCATGCTGCCCTGGAGCTGAGCACTGCAGTCCTGAGCATCGTGCTGCTGTCACCCTTGGTCAAACACCTGGTTTCAGAGTCCTGGATTTGTGTTTCTGCATCGGCACTTTATCTGCTCTCTGTATGGTACTCATTTATTAATGCTTGATTGACAGGCCTCTCAGGACAAAAACTTTGCATTTGCCTATTAAAATACTTTGCAGCTTGGAAGATAATGAAATAATTTGCTCTCTGTTGTGTTTTTGGGATTTTTTAAAATTCAATGACACTTGTGCCAGCACCACACAGTTCATTGATCTGCTGTCCTGAGTTCACCAACACAATTTTTGGTGTATGGGTTTTAACTGACAGGTAGTCAATCAACAGCAGAGAGAGCTGTTTGTGATAGCTGGTTTCAGGAACTGCAAAAGGCTAGCTCCTCTAGAAGCCTCAAAATTCTTTTGAAAGGTAGGTTTAAATTACATGGAAATACATCTCTGAGTTTAACACAGAAGTGTGCTTTGTTGAGGTGAGTCCTTTACTACAGAGAGATGTAAACCTCCCTAGGCTAAAAATACAGAGATAATTACGTATAGTATGGGAACCCCAGCACAGCAATTGATCCAGTATGACCCCTATATGGTTAATTACAGATTGTCAAGGCAATTTCTGTTCAAGCTGGACTGATAATTAATTAGTCACCTCCACATTGAAATCCTGACCTTGGCTTGGCACACGGAAAACAGAGACTTGTGTATCTGGCCAAAGCATCTCGTTGCTGCCCAGGGGCAGGTAGACAAGGTATTAATAGCTGAAAACGGAAAATGGCAAATGAAAGTCCAAAATGAAAGAGTAGCTTTCTTTACTGGCTCTTTCCTTTCTTTCCTGCTCTCCTTCCTCCCAAACCAATTGCTCAGGCTAAAAGAATAAATAAAACCCACAGAAGTATAATCGTCTTTTGGACACTTTCACTTAATTCATAGGGCAGAACAGAGGAAGTATCTCTACTGATAACTTTTTGGTCAAATTGCAAACTGGAAATTTATTCCTGCTGTTTTGTCTTTCAAGCATGGCAGAAATTTACCTTGTACCTTGTGCCTACCTGGTTTCCTTAGTAACTTCTCATAAGAATACGACAAAAGCTTGGAAAAGACCAAATAAATTGTCAACCGCTTAATCTTTATTTATAGAAAATGATATGCTGTTAAATCTACTAGGTCTCTGTCAAAGCTGCCTGATTTATTTCTTGTTCAAAGGAGGTCCGGATATTATTAAAATGAGATACCTTCCTCCACCAAATATAAGAATCTTTTTGCTTGCATAAACAGATTTAAGGCCTGGAAGTTACCAGAACCTACATACATGCTTCATATATATCTCCTTTGTTTATGAGAGTCAGTACCACCATTTTTCAGCTTTGCATGAATTTAAATGTTTTGCAGAAAAAGGTGGTTAAAATCATCTCTCTATGATGCCTTCAAAAATAATTTAGAGTATTTAAATACTACCAAAATGGATGCTTGAATAAAGATGTCATGAGTGTATGATTTAGAAGCAACAGTGGAACCAGAATCAGGACATAAGAGAATCAGAACATCTTTAATTGTGAAACAAAGGAGTGCGGATTTGAAATAATTGTATGTTTCATTGTTTGTGTTACTTCACAACTCCCACCATGGCATGGGTACCACTTGCCAGATGGTACAGATGCAAAATATCTGTCTGTCCTACAAGGTTGCAGTACAAATGGACAGTACTGGGACATGCAGGAGCAGAGAATAAAACAAGGGACCTGTGCAGAGAGTTCAGGTGCTTTGCAGTAAATACCTTGTAGGGGAAAGTCTGACAAGAAAGGAAGCCAGGAAGGGAGTGGCATGCTTCTAAATCTTTTGGGCAGTTCCATTTTTTTTCCTTTTAAGTTCTTGAAATGGTTTCCTGACCTGTGTCAAGCTTCTTTCAAAAGTCTCCTGGCAATCCCTCCACATGGCTTTCCAATGGCAAAGAACTGCCATGTTTGTATTCTTGATAGCTGGCAAATTATTTGATCAGAAGCTGTTTCTCCAAATAAATATGGAAGGGTGTATGTACAGTTAAGTGCAGAAGAATGGTGAGGAGATACATGATGGATGTCATTCAGTGGTAACCCAGATATTGTTTATAGTGAAACCCTTAATGTTTGTTAAGATCACTGTTCTGTGTTGCAATACGTTGTTGTTCCATTGCCTTTGGATGGGTTTTCCCATGACATGTCATATATCATGTTCTCTACTGAAATCAGCCATGTGCTTTTCACTTAGATCATGTTTTCATCACATCTCTCACATAAAAAGCTTCATAAACTCATGCCCATTTTTTTCTACCATGGGCGAGTGCTAAGGATATCCCCAGTTGCTGGTTACCTTGCTTGGGAAGCTACTGGGGAACCCCTGCTGGGGATGCCAAGATAATAAATGCCTTCTGACCATTGCTGTGTGCATTGTACTTGTTTATTCCCACCTGCTTGAGTGCAGGTGGGCATTAATACTGGCAGAGGCCAGTCTGCTGCTCTGACCTCGACCAAAACAGGGAGCAAAAGGAAAAACAAATTTTGGAAGAGGTGTCTACTTGAAGTGCCAGAATTTAAGAAAATCTGCACCTATTATGGGTTAGAATGAGACAGAGTGTTGAAATTAGATTATCTTGTCTCAAGTCGAAATGCATCTCTTTCTTTCTGGGTTGGCCCGTGGTTTGGAAGGAGATCCTGGGTCAGAAGAACATGCAGTACGCCAGGCCGGGAGCAGAACAGTCGAGATGAGTTTGGATTGGCGTTATTCCCTCTGCCCCTGCCTTGAAGGCGTTTTGCCCCTCGAGGGAGTCAGGTGGGGCGAGAAGGGAGAGCAGGGGCTGTGGTGGTATCTCCTGGCATGTATGCTGCATCAGGGAGGCTGATGGCAACAGAGGGACCCAGAGGGAGCCCACACCAGCCAGCTCCTAACAAAAAAATACTGATTGCTCGTGGTGTCCTGTCCGAGCAAAGCCTTGAGGAACGGTTTTTGTCAGAATAAAAGGCACAGGAAGGCTCTGTTTCAGGTTAGCCTTCACAGTCCTGAGTATTTCCGTTGGCTTCCCAGGCGGTGCCGCAGACCATCGGGCTGGAAGCTGGCGGGAGGCGCTCCGGGGATGGAGCATCCCGGCAGGAGCACGGCGGGGATGGAGCGCACCGGGGCGAGCCCGCGACCCGGCCGCTGAGCCGAGGCTCCCGAAGGGCTTTCCTCCCGCAAGGGAACCACGGGCAAAGGCAGAGATCGCGTTAATGCGGCCGGCCGGGCCGGAACCCGCTGCCGGTGCTCCCAGAGGTAGACGGTCCGAAACCGGTCTCCCCGAGCCTGGCGCCGAAGGCTTGTGGGGGTTCGTTCCCTGCGCGACGGCGCCGTCCGAGGAGGAAATGAGGGGCCGGGGGATCCCACAACTTTTCCCCGCGGCCGGCGGTGCCCCCCCGGCGCCCTCCAAGCTCGTGGCCATAGACTGTGAGATGGTGGGCACGGGCCCCGGCGGGCGCACGAGCTCCCTGGCCCGGTGCAGCATCGTCACGTACGAGGGTGATGTGGTGTACGATCAGTACGTGCGGCCCGAGGCTCCCATCGTGGATTACCGGACCCGCTGGAGCGGGATCCGCCGGCAGCACATGGACAGAGCCGTGCCCTTCCGCAGGGCGCAGCAGCAGGTGCGGGGGGAGCTCGGGGAGGGAGCGGGGCTGGGCTCTGCAGCTTTCGGGGGAGGGATTGTCCCCACGGCTCTGCCCCGTGGGGCACGGGGGTCTCAACCCCCTCCTCTCGTGCAGGTGCTGCGGATCCTCGCCGGGAAGGTGGTGGTCGGCCACGCCATCCACAACGACTTCAAGGCTCTGCAGTACTCCCATCCCAAAGCTCTGACCCGGGACACGGCGCAGATGCCGCTGCTGAACCGCCGGGCTGGCTTCCCAGAGAACACGGCCATCTCCCTGAAGCGCCTCACCAAGGCTCTGCTGAACCAGGACATCCAGGTACCGCGGCTGGGGAGGGAAGTGCCATCCCTGGGGGAGGATCCAAGGCACCTTGAATGCTGCCAGCCCTGGAGCAAGGCAGCCCCGTGCCTCAGTTTCCCTGGAAAGCAGCCTGTGGGAGGGGGGGACCTTCAGCTCAAACCCTGCAGCCTGGGGGACCTTTTCCTGCTCTTTCCCCCTCGCTATCTGTGCACACCCCACAGCACTGCCTGCAGCTCCCCAGTTTTCTCCTTATCCCTAAATCTGCCTGTACTCCTCTGAGCTCCCCACATCCCCCTAGAGCTTCCCTTACCCCCAAATCTGCCTGCACCCTCCCCAAATCTGCCTGTGCCCCCAATTCCCCACAGCTACTTGCACCCCCTCATCTCCCTGGAGCTGCCTACGTGCCCTGATCGTCACACGTTCCCCCACCTGATCCACCTGTCCCCCCAAATTTTCCTGCACACCCTCATCTCCATGCATCCCCCCGACCCTTGCGTGCATTGCCCCACAGCTGCCTGCACCCCCTAATCTCTCCACAATTCTGCCCCCCGAAATGGGAGCTGTGGTGACTTGTGTCTGTCCCCACAGGTAGGGAAAAGCGGCCATTCCTCGGTGGAGGATGCCCGAGCCACCATGGAGCTCTACAAGGTGGTGGAGGAGGAGTGGGAGCAGCACCTGCGGCAGAACCTGAAGCAGGAGTGACGCTCTGGGGGCTCAAAGTGACACCCCCAGCCTGGTCCTGCCTCTGGGGGAACCCAGAGTGACACCCCCAGCCTGGTCCTGCCTCTGGGGGAACCCAGAGTGACACCCCCAGCCTGGTGCTGCCCCTCGGGGCTCCTGTGGCTGCTGAGGGGCTGCTCTTGTCCGTGGATGATGAAGAGCAGGGTGTGACATCCCCCAGGCTGATGTGCCTTGTCCCGCCCTGTTCTCGCCAGGATTTGGGAGGGCCTGGGACGGTGCCTTCCCCAAGAGGGGTCTCTGGGATCCTGCGCTCCTCAGACACTTCGGGGCTGCTGCTGGTCCTGATCTGGGAGCGACATTGGGGCATCCTGAGCACAGCCCCCATCGCTGGGGCTTTGGGAACGGAGCGGGCTCCTTCCTCTTCCCAAAACTACCTCTGGTAGCTGCCCGTGCGCCCCGGGCCGCAGTGTAGGAATGGCTGG